CCCCCCCGGCCCCGCCTCGCCCAGGCTTTGCCCCGCCGGCCCGTCCCACATAGCCCCGCCCTCGAAGATCGAGGCCCCGCCCACTACCCGCCCCGCCTCTCACGCCTGCTCTGCTAAATCCGCGGGAGACTCCGCCTTGAGATGCAGTTTCCGGAGGGGAGCGGGAGCCGTTGTGGAAGGACAGCCGGTGTGGCGGTCATGCGAACACCACGAGCACTGTTTAGCGAGCATTTGCTCTGCACCAAGTGCTTCACGTACATTTTCGCCCTTTACCCTTACTGAGTGTTCCCGCACCGGGGGTTTTGTTATTCCCAGTTTTAGATGCGAACATGGAGGCTCAGGAGGTAAAGTGACTTGCCTAAGGGCATGCAGTTGCAGGACTGTCGTCTCGGGCCCACGTCTCTAGAGCCACCCTGGACCTGGCTTCTCTCCCAGGGCTGGGGGTAGCGAGAGGGTAGGGGGCTTCGGGGGCCCGAGCCTCGGTTTCTGCGGAAGTGGCACTGGCTCTCTCGCCCCTCAGTCCCTGATCACAGGAGGCGTTCAAAGGCCCCATGCTCTGGCTCCTCCCCCAGAGCTTGACCCCCAAGCCCCGGGTCCTGGGTTGTGCTGCGGTCAGCCCTTGGTCATCCCATGTGCAGCGGGGCTTGCGTTTTGTGTGTGGGTATGTGTTTGCACATGCACCCGCGCGCATGCATGTCATGTCTGTGCAGGTGTCTGGGGAGGAACCTTTTGATGGGTGCAGATTTCTGTGCTTTCCTGAAACTGACTGGAAGCCCTGGGGATGGGAGGGGAGGCAGGGGCCGAGTTCCTCCCGGGTCCTTCTCTGCACGGTTGAGATGGGGAGGAGGGCTGGGAGCCCACAGTCTGGGAAGGAATGGCCCCCCAGAGCCAGTGGGGGAGACTCTTCTGCCTTCCTATCTCCTCCTCCTCTTCCTCCGTCTCTTGGCCTTTGCTGTCCTAGAGGCCAAGGTTGCCTCTGGGCTTTGCACACCGCACCTCCAGAATGTCTTCAGGTGTGATTTGACACCCAAATAGCCCTGTCTGTGGAGGAAGAGTGGGCCCATTTTCCAGATGAGAAAACAGGCTGAGGAGTACGAGGACAGGGGGCTGGCCGTACCTTCCCTCCCCAACAGAGCTGTCTCCTTGAACCTGTCATCCCCACCCTGTCTGGCCAGGCTCAGAATCGCAGCCTTTGCCTGTGGCCTTTGACTTTGAATTCTGAGTCAGCTAGGCTCAGAATCCACTGCTCAGGGACAGCATGCTCAGGGCCACAGATAAGTGTTTGTAGCTACTGCAGTTCTCACCTTTGCCAGCCAGGGGTCAGTGGCCCCTGCAGCATGTCCCTGGGCTGGCAGAGACCAGGTCTTATTGTCCCAGATGCAGGTTGCCTGGGTGTGGCTCTGCCTGGGTGTGGCCCTGTTCAGGTGAGAGCTGGTGGACAGGGCTGGCGTGCCCCTGAGCTCCGGGCCGGGGCCCTGCTCCCTGGCTGCTGTGGATCACACTAGGATGCGACGTTTGGAGTGGTGGGAAGGCCCACAGAGGGGGCGACCTGAGTCTTGGATTCTGCTCCCTGCTCTGCTGTGCCTCGTTGAGCGGGCCTCCGTTTCTCCCCCGTGTGGTTTCTGAAGACAGGGGCGGATGTCATGGCATTGCTGGGGTGCTGTTCTGACTTGGGCCAGTGTCACCAGTGGGAGGGAGCCTGGGTGGCAGCCTGCTGTCAGGGAGCTTCAGGGTGAGGCCCTGCGGGGCTCAGTCCTGAACTTGGGGACCCTCCTCTGTCCACAGTGCCCCCCACTGAAGGGCAAGGTGCAGCGGATCCTGCACTGGAGGTGGACGGAGCCCCCGGCACCCTTCATGGTGGGGCTGCCGGGGCCTGACGTGGAACCCAGCATCCCCCCGCCCAAGGCCCTGGAGGGCATCCCCGAGAGGGAGTTCTTTGTCAAGTGGGCTGGGCTTTCCTACTGGCACTGCTCCTGGGTGAAGGAGCTGCAGGTGAGGCGCCCAGGCAGGCTTGGGCCTGGCATAAGCCTCGGGACCCTGTGTCTGCGCCCGGACTGAGGGTGGCTGGGAAGGGGGGAGGCTGTCCTGCCTGCAGCCGGGCTGGGGGACTGGGTGGGGAGACACGGGGGCCGTGCCCCGCCTCCCCGGTGACGCGTGCCCCTCCACGAGCAGCTTGAGCTGTACCACACGGTGATGTACCGCAACTACCAAAGAAAGAACGACATGGACGAGCCGCCGCCCTTCGACTACGGCTCCGGGGACGAGGACGGCAAGAGCGAGAAGCGGAAGAGCAAGGACCCGCTGTACGCCAAGATGGAGGAGCGCTTCTACCGCTACGGCATCAAGCCCGAGTGGATGATGATCCACCGCATCCTGAACCACAGGTGCGGCCTGTTCTGCACACCACCCATGGGCACCACAGGGCTGGGCGTGGCTCCCTCACCCTGTAAGCTAGGTGTGGGGCTGGGCACATGTGGGCACTGCAAGGGCAGGCGGAAGAGGCCTGGGGCTCCCACTGCAGGCGAGTTGACTCCAGCCAAGCATTGTCACGTGCACAGCACACTCAGCACACGTGTCATGTGCACATGGCACAGTCAACACACGTCACATGCACACAGCACACGTGTCACATGTGTTAGGGTCAGGAGTGCAGCACTGCCAGGGCTGGCATGCCGGGGGTGTGCTCTGGTAACCGGAGATCCGAGTCGCACAAAGATTTGCAACACGCAAGGGTATGAAGGAGGAAAAGATTTGTTGAAGGAAAGTTCTTCCCACAGAAAGGAAGAGGGCCAGCACTCCAAGATGAGTGTAGCCCTGTAGCCCCCCAAGCTGCTCTGGCTTAAACCCTTTCCCCTGGAGATGTTGCAATCAGGTAGACGTGACTGCTGTGACTTCCTTGCTGACCACTTGCAGATGATTTGCAGACCCTGAGGAGGGAAGGGGGTCTGGTTCCCCGGCACTGGGTAGCACGGTCTTATCACCTTCAGGGGTTGTTTTAAGACGACAGTGGGCGGATACTGGTTAGGCTTGAGGGATTTGGGTTTCTGGAAAGACAATGGACACCTGGGGTGGGAGCTGAGGTGCCTGCTGCGAGGTGGTGGCTTGGAACTTCCCCACCTGGGCCTCAACTTCATGGGCTCTGCCTATGGGGGCTTACTCTGGGGCTTTCCCCACTCGGCGCGTCCTGCTACAGCAGTCACTGCGTGGAGAGGAGGCCAAGAACCCATAGCAAAGTTAATCTTTATCTAGAGTGTATGTTCTTGCAGGACACAGTTTTTACTTTCTCATTATTGGGTTAAGATTTAGGAACAAAACAAAGTGACTTTTCACCTTTCAGTCTGTCCTTTGGTTATGCACATGGGCACACTTAGCACAAGTGTCACATGCACACGGCACACTCAGCACTTATGTCACACGGGCACGTGTGTCATATGTACACGGGCACATTCAGCACACGTGTTCATGGGCTCCAGGTGTGTCATATACATGAAGAGGGAACACGGTGAACAACCTGTGAAATTTGCCTGAGTCAGGGCCCTCCCTGACATGGTGTCTGGGCCACGAACCTGAGGCCATTAAGAGAATGACCAATCCCCAGTCGCCATGGAAACTGATGGATTTTTTTTTTCAGTAAAAAATCGGTTGTTATCCAGACTTTGGAGAGGAAATCTGGGGTGAGCCACCTGTCCCACCTTGGAGACAGAGAGAAAAGCTTGTTCTGCGTTAGTGCTTGATGTCGGCAGGAGGGTTCTGAGGACCAGGGAGGCCTGAGGTGTGGGGGTGTGCACACGTCCTCCATGTTTATGACAACAGCCAACGCTGCTGAGTGCGAACTACCCAAGAGGTGGTAGACATTTTATTTTCACCTCCCTTTTACTGATGTGAGAACAGACACAGCAAGGTTAAGTCACTTGTCAAAAGTCACACGGCCAACAGGTGATGGAGCCGGGACTGGTGCCCAGTGCTCTCTCAGGACAGAAGCAAGACTCTTTGTGGAGCAGTCTGGAAATCCCCATGTGACTTAGTCATCAGAGGCTACAGGAGACCAGGATGAGAGGTCTGAGGCAAGAGGCCCGTGGGCTTTGGCTTTGATCTGGTGGGTGGTGGGAATGCTTGCTGATGCTTTAGCTCCGGTGCTCGGGAACAGTGGGCGGCCGATGGACACCTGGGGTGGGAGCTGAGGTGCCTGCTGCGAGGTGGTGGCTTGGAACTTCCCCACCTGGGCCTCAACTTCATGGGCTCTGCCTATGGGGGCTTACTCTGGGGCTTTCCCCACTCGGCGCGTCCTGCTACAGCAGTCACTGCGTGGAGAGGAGGCCAAGAACCCAGGCCGGAGGCTCTGGCTCTGGACCCAGCTCCCCTTTCCGGGGCTTTGAGGCCCTTGAGTCAAGTGGGTTGCTGTGAGGGCTGGAGGGGCTTGCCAGAGGCTGGCTTTGGGTGGTCTTCAGTAGGAGGGGGCTGTAGAATAAGACAATGCTGCCCCCTTTGACTATGGAATGCCCCCTCCTGCCTCCCTAGACCTTCCTGAGAATGACCTCTATGAGAGTTAGATCCAGTGAGAACCCATGCTGTGCACTGAACTGACCCATCATTTTTTTTTTTTTGAGTTGGAGTCTCACTCTTGTTGCCCAGGCTGGAGTGTGGTGGCACGCTCATGGCCACTGCAACCTCGACTAGCTGGGCTTAGGCGATTCTTCCACCTCAGCCTTCCAAGTAGCTGGAACTACAGACACACACCACCCTACCCGGCTAGCTTTTGTGATTTATTATGGAGACGAGGTGTCACCAAGTCGCCCAGGCTGGTCTTGAACCCCCAGACTCAGGCAGTCCTCTCGCCTCGCCTCCCGAAGTGCTGGGATTAAAGGCTGAGTCACCGTGCCTGGCCTGACCCATCATTTTTGACCTTTGTTAAAATGCATGAGGCTGAGATGAAAGGATCACTTGGGACTAGAGTTTGAGGCTGCAGTGAGTTATGAAGGCACCATTGTACTTCAGCCTGGGCAACAGAGTGAGACCATGTCTCTAAAAGGTTAAGAAAAATAGCATGCGAAAAACACGTGGTATTTTTTTCTCTCTTCCTCCAAGGCGGGACTGGTGAATCTTCCCAAGATTTATTCCTTAAAGTCTGTGAAACAACCAGTTACTTACTGAAAAAAATCTGTCGGCTTTCATGGTGACGAGGGATTGGTCTTTCTCTTAATGATCCCCAGGCTCTCTGCGGACACGGCTCACCTGATCTGTGTGCCTGGACCCTACCATGTTGGGAACCATGGCCCCCCGGCCGTGCAGAGCTCCCCTCTGGTGGTTTCCCAACAACCCAAGTGGGGTGGGAGGCCGTGAGGATCCTCTCAGTGGTCAGAACCAAGCTGTGTGCTGCTAGGTGTGATCACTGGGTTCCTGTGTCCCTGGAAGAAGCCACCCCACCTGCAGCAACTGCATTCTTGCCTACTTTGCAGAGTCAGGCTCCTCGCCCGGCATGGGCACTGCTCGAATCCTTTGGGTTTTTTAAGTTAGAAAAACAAAATCCATAGGCAGGAGAGAGAACTTTCCAACTTAGAAATTCACAATTTATCTGCCGGGCACAGTGGCTCACACCTGTAATCCCAGCACTTTGGGAGGCCAAGGCAGGAGGATTGCTCGAGCTCAGGAGTTAGAGACCAGCATAGGTAATGTAGTAAGACCTCATCTCTACAAAAATAAAAATAAAAAAATTAGCTGGGTGTGGTGGCCCATGCTTGTAGTTCCAGCTACTTCAGAGGCTGAGGCAGGAGGATTGCCTGAGCCTAGGAAGTTGAGACTGTGGTAAACCATGATTGTGCCACTGTATTCCAGCCTGGGTGACAGAATGAGACCCCCACTCAAAATTTTAAAAATTCAAGCTGGGCTCGGTGGCTCAGCCTGTAATTCTGCGCCTTTGGGAGGCTGAGGTGAGTGGATTGCCTGAGCCCACGGGTTCGAGACCTGCCTGGGCAACTTGGAGAGACCTCATCTCTACAATAAATCAAAAATGAGCCGGGCGTGGTAGCGCACGCCTGTAGTTCCAGCTGCTTGGAAGGCTGAGGCGGAAGGATCGCCGGAGCCCAGCAGGTCGAGGCTGTGGTGGCCGGAAGCGGCCACTGCACTCCAGTCTGGGGGACAGAGTGAGACTCCAACTCAAAAAAAAAAAATTTTTTTAAATTCGGAATTCCTGTGTCCAGACGCCATGGGAGGCTGGACTGCTGGCTGTCCGCTCCTGAGGTAGCCTAGCCTCTCGGTGTCCCTCTCTGGCTCTGCCCCCTCCTCCTCTCACTAGCTGTGTGACCCCTGGGTAAGCTGCTGCAGTTCTTTGGAGCTGTTGTCCTGGTGGCCTCCTCCTGGCTGGGCAGGAGTGTGAGGGCTGGAAGGGGCTTTCCAGAGGCTGGCTTTGGGTGGTCTCCAGTAGGAGGGAGCTGTAGAATTAGAAAATGCTACCCCCTTTGTCTATGGAATGCCCCCTTTTACCCTCCCTAGACCTTCCCGAGAATGACCCCCATGAGGGTCAGATCCAATGAGAACCCGAGCCCTGCACTGAGGAGGAGGGCTAGGGTTGTTATACCTAGGAGTTTGAGGTTGCAGTGAGCTATGAAGGAAGGCACCACAGGGGACTGTGAGCGGGAGTGGTTTTGCATTCTGGGAGGTGCCTGTCAACAGATGCTGCTGTGGCTGCTGCCCCAGTGACCCCCCCCACCCCATTGGCTGTGTTCCAGCTTCGACAAAAAGGGGGATGTGCATTACCTGATCAAGTGGAAAGACCTACCCTACGACCAGTGCACGTGGGAGATCGATGACATCGACATTCCCTACTACGACAACCTGAAGCAGGCCTACTGGGGTCACAGGTAGGCCGCGGGGATCCAGCTGCTGGACGCGGGCGGCAGGGGGCCTCCTCCCCAGGCTTGAGCTGCGCTCACTGGCGCCCAACGCCCTTCCCCAGGGAGCTGATGCTGGGAGAGGATGCCAGGCTGCCCAAAAGGCTGGTCAAGAAGGGCAAAAAGTTGAGAGACGATAAACAGGAGAAGCCGCCGGACACGCCCATCGTGGACGTGAGTGGGGCGGGAAGCCAGGGGGCTGCCCTGGCCCGCTCACCCAGGCTTGGCCGGCATGGAAGGGTGTTCTCAGGACCACTCCCCTCTGGGCCCTCATGGCTGTGCCCACGAGGACCGGGCAGTGGGAAGGGCCAGTGTGCTAATTCCACACCAGTCTTCCCTGGGTGGGAACCAGGACAGTTCACTCAGCAAAGCTCTCTGGGGGCCTGCCAGCACCTAGTCCTGGGCTGGCCTGGGGGCGATGAGGGTTAATCAGCCCAGGGCGCCTGTTTCAGGAGATGCTCCATCTTCTAGGGGGGACTGTGGCGGGTCCACACAGAACATGGAGGGTCTAGCCCAGGCCTGTCAGACCCTTGTCAGCCAGTGGGTCTGGTCCATTAGGAAAACTTCACGGGGGAGGTGGCCTTGAGCTGCAGGTTCAGAGGTGATTGTTCAGGGTCAAGTGGGTGGCTGGTTATGGCAGGCATGGAGAGCGCTCTAGCCATGCATTCGTTCTGTTGTCATCCAACACATATCAAGCATCCACGTGTCCCAGGCACTTTATGGGGCACAGAGGAAGCTGTGGGCAGGACCAGTGTGGTGACGACAGCCGGGCTCAAAGTCAGAGAATTCAAAAATCGGGAGATCTTCCTGATAGGAGAGGTACAGGCCCTCCATGGGAGGACATGGTGGGAGGACCCAAGCCAGACTGGGAGTCAGGGAGGGCTTCTTCAGGGAAGAGGCATTCCAGCTGAGACCTGAGGAAGATTAGGAAGACAGAGAGCAGCAGGAAGAGTATTCCAGGCAGGAAGAATTGTGTGGGCAAAGGCCTGGTGGGTCAAGGCTGGGGGCCCAGGGTCTGGGGCGTGTCCTGACTGCTGCCTTCCCTGCAGCCCACGGTCAAGTTTGACAAGCAGCCGTGGTACATCGACTCCACGGGGGGCACGCTGCACCCGTACCAGCTGGAGGGCCTCAACTGGCTGCGCTTCTCCTGGGCCCAGGGCACCGACACCATCTTGGCCGATGAGATGGGCCTGGGCAAGACGGTGCAGACCATCGTCTTCCTCTACTCCCTGTACAAGGAGGTGGGCTGGTGGGTGGGCGGGCGGGAGGGGGGACTGGCACTGGCCGGGGACGGGCAGGCCCACCGTGCTGCTCGTTCTCTCCAGGGCCACTCCAAGGGGCCCTACCTGGTCAGCGCGCCCCTGTCCACCATCATCAATTGGGAACGTGAGTTTGAGATGTGGGCACCCGACTTCTACGTGGTCACTTACACGGGGGACAAGGAGAGCCGCTCTGTGATCCGTGAGAACGAGTTTTCCTTTGAGGATAACGCCATCCGGAGTGGGAAGAAGGTGTTCCGCATGAAGGTGAGAGCCCCTATCCCCAGGGAGGACCCCGGGGAGATGCCTGTTCTGGCACGGGGACCACAGGCGCCCTGTAGTTCCTCGGGGCCCTTCAGCCCTGGTTCTCGTGGAGGCTGCAGGCTGGTGAAGGCTTGTGGTAGAGGCTGTCAGTTTCCTGCGACTGTTGTAACCATGTATCACAGACTGGGTGGCTTAAAGCTTCAGAAAGCATTCTCTCACAGTCCTGGAGGCTGGAAGTCCAAACTCACCGCAGGGGTAGAGCCATGCTCCCTCTGAGGGCTCTGGGGGGAGGGTCCTTCCTTTTTCCAGCTTTTGGTGGCTGCAGCGGCTACTCTGTCATCACATGGTGTCCTCCCTTTGTGTCTGTTTCTCATCTTTTTTTTTTTTTTTTGAGTTGGAGTCTCACTCTCGTCCATGCTGGAGTATAGTGGCACGCTCATAGCCACTGCAGCCTCAACCTGCTGGACTCAGGTGATCCTCCCGCTTCAGCCTTCCAAGTAGCTGGAACCACAGGTGTGCACCATCACACCCGGCTGATTTTTTGATTGATTGCAGAGACGAGGTGTCACCAAGTTGCCCAGGCTGGTCTCGAACCCCTGGACTCAGGCAGTCTTCTTGTCTTGGCCTCCCAAAGTGTTGGGAATACAAGCATGAACTCCTGAGCCCGGCCTGTCTCTCATCTTAAAGGCACTACTTGGGTTGGATGGGGGCCCGCTCTACTTCCGTGGGACCTCATCTTACCTAATTACATTAGCAAACACTCTATTTCCCAAAAAGGTTCCAGGTGGGTGTGAGTTTTAGGGAGCCACTATTCAACCCAGTGCACCAGCTGTGTGACCTCTGGCAAGTCACATGACCTTTCTGCGCCTCCACATCTCAGCAAAATGGAGATGACAGACTCACCTCAGAGTCAAATGAGTCAGTGAGCACTACTAGGCAGGGCTGGGCCTCTCAGACCTCACCATGTCCGCAGATTCCTAGGGAGTCTTGTTCAGGGGCAGGTTCTGATCCAGCAGCCCTGGGGTGGGCCTGAGATCCTGCATTCCGAATATGTGGTCCCTGCAAGGACTCAGAGCAGTTGGCTTCTCACAGATATTAGTGCTCATATTAGCTACAATGCTAGGGGCTGACAGATCCTCTCCCAGACCCTCCAGAGTGATTGTTTCAGTGACAGGATCTCCTTCTGTAACCCAGGTTGGATCATAGCTCACCACAGCCTCCAACTCTTGGGCTCAAGCTATCTTCCTGCCTCAGCCTTCCTAGAAGCTGGGACTACAGGCATGTGTCACCATGCCTAGCTAACTTTTTTTTTTTTTTTCCATAGAGACGAGGCCTTGCTATGTTGCTCAGGCTGGCCTCAAGCTCCTGGCAATCTACCTCGGTCTCCCAAAGCACTGGGATTTATAGGCGTGAGCCACTGTGCCCGGCCTCCCATTTATTTCTCTTTTTCTTCTCTTTTTTTGGGTCAGAGTCTTATTCTATCACCCGGGCTAGAGTGCACAATCATGGCTCCCTGTAGCCTTGACCTCTTGGGCTCAGGCTATCCTTCCACCTCAGCCTCCCAAGTAGCTGGGACTGCAGGTGCCCACCACCACACCTGGTTTATTTTTTATTTTTTGTAGTGACGAGGTCTCACTATGCTGCCCAGACTGGTCTCGAACTCCTGGGCTCAAGCAGTCTTCCACCTTGGTATCCCAAAAGTGCTGGGATTACAAGCATGAGGCACCATGCCTGGCCTCCAGAGTTTCTTATGTTGACTTTCTCTGTTGTCTCAGAGCAGTCATGGGATGTTTTTCAGGGGATGCTGAAAAATTGTTGAATAAGGGAATGAGTCCATGAGCCCAGAGGTGACTTTGCAGATGGATGGGCGTCTGGGCCAGTTAGTCACAAGAACTTTGCCTGAGCTCACACTGGAATCTTGCTACATGTAGGCGCTTCACCAACTCAGCGCTTCTGTTTATTATTTATTTACTTTATTTAAAAAGTTGAGGTGGGTGTGGTGGCTCATAACAGTAATCCCAGCACTTTGGGAGGTGGAAGTGAGAGGATTGCCTGAGCTCAGGGGTTCGAGACTAGCTTGGGCAACTTGGTAAGACCTAGTTTCTACAGTAAATAGAAAAACTAGCTGGGCGTGATGGCACACACCTGTAGTTTCAGCTACTTTGGAAGGCTGAGGCTGAAGGATTGTCTGAGAGGCCAGCAGGTCGAAGCTGCGGTGACCATGAGCCTGCCACTGCACTCTAGCCTGGGCAATGGAGTGAGACTCCAACTCAAAAAACAAACAAAAAAATAACAGAAAAGTTGTGATAAAATACACATAACATGACATTAACCACCCTGGCTGGGCATGGTGGCCATGCCTGTAATCCCAGTACTTTGGGAGGCAGGAGAATCACTTGAGGCCAGGAGTTTGAGACCAGCCTGGGCAACAGCAAATCAAGACTCCATCTCTACAAAAACAAAAAAGAAAAAAAAATTAGCCAGGTGTGCAGGAGGCTGAGATGGGAGAATCGCCTGAGCCCAGGAGGTGGAAACTGCAGTGAGCTGTGATTATGCCACTGCACTGCAGCCTGGGTGACAGAGCAAGACCTTGTCCCCAAAAAAAAAACAGTTAAAAAAATTTACCATCTTGACTATTTTTCTTTTTTGAAAGCAGGATTTATTGAGAGGACAGAAAAGCTCCCACAGTGGAAGGGGACCCGAAGGGGTTGCCCTCCTTGACCATTTTTAAGAGCACAGCTCAGCCAGGCACAGTGTATGTGTCTGTAAGTCCCGTCTATTTGGTAGGGGCAGGAGGATCGCTTTGAGCCAAGAGTTCGAGGCTGCAGTGTACTATGATGACACCACTGCACTCCAGCCTGGGTGACAGAGTAAGACTCATGTCTTTAAAAAAAAAAAAAAGAGAGAGAACAGTTCATAGCGTTAAGCATGTTCACATTGTCATGCGGCCCATCTACAGAACTCCTTCATCTTATAAGACGGAAACTCTGTCTCCATGAAACACTCACTCCTTATTCTTTGCTGCCTCACACCCCTAGGCCCTGGAAGCCACCGTTCTACTGTCTATTTCGAAGGGGCCAGTCTGGGGACCTCATCTGGGTGGAATCACACAGTATTTGTCCTTTGTGGTGGGCTCATTTCACTCAGCAGAACGTCCTCACCGTATTACCCAGGCTGGTCTCAAATCCCTGGGCTCAGACAATCCTCTTGCCTCTGTGGCGTGGCGTGGGTCAGCCTTTTAAAGGCTGAATAACATCCTGTCATGTGAAGGGACCATGTTTTGTGCATCTGTTCCTGTGTCCTGCCGATGACTCCTGGGGTGGCTCCCACCTATGGCAACTATGATGCATGCCCACGTGGACGTGGACGTGGATGTGTGGTGTCCCTCAGGCCGCTACCTTCGCTTCTTCTGGGTGTGTTGTTGGGCTTTACGGTCATTCTGGTTTTGGTCTTTTGAGGAACAGGTGTAGCTCTTGGCTCATCAAGCACTCCTCACACAGGCGGGCAGCACGCAAGGAGACTGGTGCTCGGGTGGCTGATTAGCCTGACCAAGGTCCCAGCTCGAAAGGCCAGACTGAGCGCAAACCCACCACGGGCAGCACCTGTGCCCCAAGGTGTCCCTCAGCCCCTCTGTGACTCCTTGTGGGGACTTGGGTTGCTGAGAGAGGCAGGCTTGGTTTGACCAGGACAGGCTCCATCACTGGTAGGCCCAGCGTAAAATGACAATGCAGGGTCCCTTGTTCAAATGCAGGAAAGCCGCCATCCCCGGCTAGCTTTTTGATTTATTGTAGAGACGAGGTCTCACCGTATTGCCCAGGCTGGTCTCAAATCCCTGGGCTCAGACAATCCTCTCGCCTCTGTCTCCCAAAGTGCTGGGATTACAGGTATGAGCCACCCTGCCCTGCCCTAATTTGGTTTTCAACGTCATGTTCCTTTGGGTGTGGGGATCCTTCCTGGAAGAGTGCAGGCCATGCAGACTTCCCCCCTGCCCCAGCACCCAGGCCCAACCCCAGTCCCCTAGGAGCTTCAGGGGACAGTGGTCACCATGCAGGGGCAGGGGGGATGCCAGGGCTCCAAACCCCCCAGCACATGCTCCAGTGGCTCCTGAAACTTTACTCACAAAACAAATTCAGCTGGACACAGTGGCTCGTGCCTATAATCCCAGCACTTTGGGAGGCTGAGGTGGAAGGATTGCTTGAGCCCAGGAGTTCGAGACCAGCCTGGGCAACATAGCGAGACCTCACCTCTCCAAAAAATAAAACAATTAGCTGGGTATGGTGGTGTGCACCTGTATTCCCAGCTACTTGGGAGACTGAGGCAGAAGGCTCACCTGAACTCAGGAGATGGAGGCTATGAACCATGATCATGGCGCTGCATTCCAGCCTGGGCGACAGTGAGACCCCAACTCTCTCTCACACACACACACACAAGCGCATGCACACACACACAAATTCAGCCGTAAAATGAGTGAGTCTTTCAGCTCAGCGACTGCAGGCATTAACCCTGAATGCAGGGTCCCCTCCTGGGCTCATATCCTGGCTCTGCCATTTGCTGGCCATGGGCGCCTGGGGTGGGCATGCTCTGGCGAGGCCCCACGAGCTTGACTTGGGGACAAATGGCAGTTTAGCTCCTGTGGTCTTGAGGGTGAGGTGAGTGCAGAAGGGATGTGCTCACCCAGGCTTGTCCTCGCCACCTGTCCCGTAAGCGCCTGGGTCCCTTCGCAAGCGCCCGGTGTTGTTGGGAGCGGTGGCCATGGCTGTGTCCATGTCCATGTCCGTCCTCACCACCACCCTCTCGAGGGACTGCTCTGGCGCTTGGCTGACCCCTCTGCTCGGGGGCCCCTCTCCTCTTTGGCCCTGGGCAGGCCAGCTCCCTGCAATCTCTGTGTGACCCTGTGCACGCCTCCTTCCTGGCTCTTAGTCCCTGGAGACCTTGCTGTGCCTGCACCCAGCTGTTTCTTCCCGTATGCCCTCTTCCCTCCAGAAAGAAGTACAGATCAAGTTCCACGTCCTGCTCACCTCCTACGAGCTCATCACCATCGACCAGGCCATCCTGGGCTCCATCGAGTGGGCCTGCCTCGTGGTGGACGAGGCCCACCGGCTCAAGAACAACCAGTCCAAGGTAGCCGGCACTGCCTAGGGCCTGGAGAGGGGTGTGGGCAGGCCACTGGCTCCCAGAGCCACCCTGGGCCCCCTGACGGCCCTCCCCTCTGCTCCCCTAAGTTTTTCAGGGTCTTGAACAGCTACAAGATCGATTACAAGCTGCTGCTGACGGGAACACCCCTGCAGAACAATCTGGAAGAGCTGTTCCATCTCCTCAACTTCCTGACTCCAGAGAGGTTCAAGTGAGTTGCCCGGGCCTGACTGGGGAGGCCGGGGCGGCTTGGGGTGGCCTGTCCTGACTCTGAGGCCTACTGGGCTGCGGCGTCTTCATGGTAACATGAAGGGTGCTTCCTTCTGTGACCCCCTGTGGCAGTGGTGGTGCTGGCACATGCGGGGTGCTCTGTGAACATCAGCTGGTACCGTGGTCGTTCCTTGGCCCCATCCGGGGCTCCGTCTGGGCTCCTGGCCCTGCCTCCACGCCCCTGGCTGGTTTGTTGCCCTTCACTGAGACCCAAGTGACTCACAGGGCAGCAGGGCAAGGGCCTGGGTGGTGGGGATGGAGCCCCACTGCCCCAACCTCCTGGTCTTCACCTGCCACTACTCTCCTGCTCGGATGGGGGGACCAGGATGAAGATGCTGATTTTGTAATCAGGAGTCGTCGATTTTTTTTTGAGGTGAGGGTCTCACTCTGTCGCCCAGGCTGGAGTGCGGTGGCACAGTCACTGCCCACTGCAGCCTCAATCTCCTGGGCTCCAGTGATCCTCCCTCCTCAGCTCCCAAGTAGCTGAGACTACAGGTGCATGCCACCATGCCTGGATAATTTGTTGATTTTTTTGGTAGGTCTTGCTATTTTGCCCAGGCTGGTCTTGAACTCCTGGGCTCAAGCGATCCTCCCTCCTAGGCCTCCCAAAGTGCTGAGATTACAGGCATGAGCCACTATGTCTAGCCTAGGAGATGTAGATTTGAAGGTGACTTTTGGCACCTGGACTGTATTTTTGGCCACCCATCATATTCAGTTTCCTTATCTGTCATCCGGCTAACAGTCCCAGAGAGTCCATGCCTAGGACGGATTAGAGAATGGAAAGGTGTCTGATATGGCCTAGAGAGAGAGGGCTGTGACGTGTGGAGTGACACAGAAATGGAGATGACATGCGGGCTGTGCCAGGGCTCCCTGGGCTACCACCGGCCTGCGCTGACTGGACCCCCTGTACCCTCCCTCCCCCTCCCAGTCCTGGCTCCTTCTACAAAGGGCTGGGTCAGCTCTGGTCCTCTACTCCTGGCTCTTACCGCAGCTCTCTCTTGCAGCAACCTGGAGGGCTTCCTGGAGGAGTTTGCCGACATCTCTAAGGAAGACCAGATCAAGAAGCTGCATGACTTGCTGGGGCCACACATGCTCAGGCGGCTCAAGGCCGATGTGTTCAAGAACATGCCAGCCAAGACTGAACTCATTGTCCGCGTGGAGCTGAGCCAGATGCAGAAGTGAGTGGCTTGTCGGGGCCTCACCCAGGAGCAGCCTGCCCCTCTGCCGGGCTGGTCCCCTCGGCCACTGCTTTCTGAGGGGCCTGGCCTTCCTGGGTCGCTTTCCGGGTGGGCGAGAAGGCCCTTCAGCCCCACCGACGCTCAGCTCACCCTTTGCATGTGCCTCCTTCTTGGGGCCCCCTCTCAGATCTTTTTTTTTTTGAGTTGAAGTCTCACTTTGTGGCCCGGGCTGGAGTGCAGTGGCACGCTCATGGCCACCGCAGCCTCAACCTGCTGGGCTCAGGTGATCCTTCCACCTCAGACTTCCAAGTAGCTGGAACCACAGGCACATGCCACCACACCTGGCTATGTTTTTGATTTACTGTAGGGATGAGGTCTCACCAAGTTGCCCAGGTTGGTCTCAAACCTCTGGGCTCGAGCAGTCCTCTCGCCTCTGCCTCCCAAAGTGCTGGGATTACAGGCATGAACCTCTGCGCCTGGTTCCATCTTAGATCTTAGTGACCAAAGTCTGGGCTGCCTGACTTCTGGCAATGACCCCGAGTAACCTGTAGGGTAACTCCAGTCCTGTGGCCTCACCTCTTGAGGTGCTCTGGGTGTCTCTCTAGATGAGTGCTTGGCCACCCAGCCCCAGCCTCCCTGCGAGCAGAGGGTGCTGCTGGAGGTGGGTCTGCCCTGGCGTATCAGCCTGCCTCTCCCTGTTCCCTGCTGCAGGAAGTACTACAAGTTCATCCTCACACGGAACTTCGAGGCGCTCAACTCCAAGGGGGGCGGGAACCAGGTGTCGCTGCTCAACATCATGATGGACCTGAAGAAGTGTTGCAACCACCCCTACCTCTTCCCTGTGGCTGCCGTGGTAGGTGCATGTGGCCGCTATGGTAGGTTGTCCACGGTCACCATGGTAGGTTCCTGGGGCCATCATGGTGGGTTCCCTGTGGCCATCATGGTAGGTTCCTGGGGCCCTCGTGGTGGGTTCCTGGGGCCATCATAGTGGGCTCTCTGTGGCAATCATCGTAAGTTTCTGAGGCCACCATGGTAGGTTCCTGAGGCCATCAGGGTAGGTTCTTTGTGGCCATCCTGGTACGTTCCTAGGGACATCATGGTAGGATCCCTGGTCATCCTAGTGGGTTCCTAGGACCATCATGGTATAGTTTCTCTGTGGCCATCATGGTAGGTTCCCTGACCCCCATCACAGTCGGTTCCTGGAACCATTACTGTAGATTCCTGGGGCCATCATGGTAAATTGCTGAGGCCACCATGGCACATTCTCTTATGTCCACCACCCTGGTAGGTTCCCAGGGCCGTCATGGTAGGGTCCTAGGGCCATTATGGTAGGTTGCCTGTGGCCATCGTATGTTCGGTTCCCTGGGACCACCATGGTAGGTTCTTGAGGCCATCATGTGGATTTCTGAGGCTCGCATGGTAGACTCCCTGTGTCTATTATGGTGGGTTCCTGATGCCAGTATGGTAGGTTCCCCAGTGCCATCATGGTAGGTTCCCTGGGACCACCATGGCAGGTTTCCTTTGGCCATCAGTGTAAGTCTCCTGTGGCCTCTGTGGTCGGTACCCATGGCCATTATGGTAGGTACCAGCGGACTAGAGGTGTTGTGAGTCCCCGTTGTGCCAGCAGAGGTTCCTGAAACCTGCCTCATCCCCTATTCAGGCAGGTCCTCTCCTTCGTTGGCCCTTCTCAGATCCATAAAGTAAGGGGGAGCATCGGGTCACCCCAGGGTCCCCTCCAGCCTCAGCACTGTGAGACCCCGGGGCAGGGTTCTGAACCTGATTTGGCTGGGCTGATCAGTCACCGAGAGGGAGGCCAGAGGCCTGATGGGGCACCGGAGATGTGGTTTTTTTTTTTGAGTTGGAGTCTCACTGTCGCCCAGAC